TTTTTGGAGATCGTTAATGGATGTTACGAAACATTTTTTCAGAGAAACGAAGGAATAAGGTTCGATAACCCATATGATTTGTTTAGCGTCTATTCCAATGTTTTACGTAACATTAGGTGAAATAAGTTCAAATATTGGCAGATGAAACACGACAGGTAAGATTTCCGCTATCTACAAAGCATGTTAGTATACTTGTCTTTTTTAATTATATTAATGAAGTTGCAGAAATGTCAATGATTACAATTTAACCTTTTCAGACCTATGCATAGTCTGTTATTGGTGTTCGTTATTTGAGTAAGCAGCCTTTAGGAAAATGAATGAATTTTCACTAAAACAAAAGCAAAGATTTGACGATTTAACTTTAACCCAGGTCGCATCATAATCGTCATTTGTCAAGCTGTCTAATGCATGATTACAAAGCAACTGGTGGGACATACAATGTGAAATCAATATTTCGTGAAATACATGCTCGACTGAACCGATATCAATTTTATTATCTACTGCAATGAAGATTTAAATAATTCAAACTTAACTACCATCAATTATTATTCGCTGTTACAGAGAAGGTAGGCCATGAAATGCTTGGTCTCCGGGAATGCGACGTGTTGAATATTTCATTCGATCAGCATATACGATTTTAGGCATATAAGGTGATTCAACAAAACAGTAGCAATACTTCTGGTACTAAATATGAATCCAAAGCTTCACAAAACATTTTTAAACATACGAGAATATAGAGTAACGTTCTGGTAAACGTTTCTCACAGAAGTCAATTTATTAAATAGGCCATTCAAACAAGCAATAGGTGTTTTTAAAAAAACAATGGTGTAATAACTGTCTTCTATGGAAGCTAACATACCCTAGTTGCGTATGTGTATAGGTTATATTGTTTTTACTAAACGTAAAAATTTTTAGTTGGTACCTCTCGAAGATAAAATTTTTCTCGATTTCGTAAATACAGCTTAAAAACCTCTTATCTGGTATTTCAGGAACCAACTTTCTGCGTTGATTCTGGAAGTTGTTTCTACCCTAGTCTATTGCTACTATTTATTGAATCACCCTGTAAAGGTCGACGAGTATCGCTAGAGTATTATAATGTTACAGCAATACTCTTATTATACAGGTATAATTTTGTAACAATGAAAGAGTAATACGTTTGCGTAACTACATCAAAGCCTATGATATTAGTTATATGACTATTATCCATTGATATATCGCTACATGTTGAAAGCTTAAATAGTTCAGTGTCACATTTCTTTCTAAAAATTGTGAACATTTTGTTGGTTCGCCTTGAATAGTACCTTGGAAAATTCATTGAAGCCTGATAACATATAACGTACAGAAGTGAACTATGTCGTGACAGATAATGAAGAAATATATACCTTGCTGATTTGCTTCTCTTATATCTAGATAGGTGACAAATGTGACAAGAGTCACCTACAAATTATTTGCCAGTTTTTCAAAAGAGCAAACACACTTGTTTGCATTCCCCTTGTCTGTCTCAAAGTCTAGACCTATACCGTACTGATGAGTGCGAAATATCACGAAACAGCGTTTTTGCGATTGGTCATGGTTACGGAGATGGTAAGCAAACATATTCAGAACAGCCAGATTTATTGCTGATCACCTTAATTTTTTATTAAAAGTAAGAAATTATGTATGGAAATGTATCATAATTTCCCGCCTCCGGAAACGCTTGGTTGCGTTTCTATTTATCTTTCGGTAGGAATATTTTTAATATCTTCCCAAATATTACTGCTTCAGACCTTGATTTGTTGGAATAAACATATTGTAGAAAGAGGCCTAGGGACGTAAAATCTGACAGTCTTGTATTCTAGATCGCCTAATGGGCAGATCAAACGCAAAAAATCCTCAAATAGGCACTGATTATGTTCCCCACCCAATACCAATGTCATACTGACGAGTTCTAATAAGAAGCAAACCACGTCGTCTGCCACTGGTTGATGGGATTGTGGACAGAAAGTAGTTAATAATAGTGTAATCAGTGAATACAGATTCATAAAATATTAGGAGCAAAAGCGATACTTACCAGTATCTTGCACCTTTCGATTCCTTTCCCTCCATTTCTCCACCAGGTCTTGCACGAGAACGTTGACGCACCTCTTTCCCCCCTCTAAGTCCGCTTCGCACACTTTGCAACTGTTTCTGCTTCTTTCTAAACACTCTCCACATAAGGTGTGTCCACATTCAACAGTAATTGCGCCTTTCAAGATTTGTCGACACACTGGACACGTGAAAAGCTCGGTTTTTTGGTCCATGGTGCGGAAGAAGGCTGCCTCGAACTGTTTTCTCCTAGAAAAAGGAATTTGTTGTTAGGAGATACTAGGGATGCATCGAGTACTCGGTTTGTACTCGATACTCGGCCCATTTTACCGAGTACCCGCTTTTGTCGAGTAGTGAATTACTCGACTGGCTAATTAGGCGGCCTGAATGCAAGACACGCAACTTTCATAAATCAAAGAATTGTAGGCATGATGTATTTTTTCCAAAAACAGTTTCCTTTTTTTTTGATGATCTCTTGAATAAATATCATTAAATACAAGTTTCTCCATTAAAAAATATGATAGTCTGTGGAGCAGCAAGTATAATAGGAATTTAAATCGAAGCCACAATTGTTTTTCTTTGCATAGTTTATTATTTATCTACACAAGTTTCTTCATAAAAAATACGGTAGTCTATGGAGCAGCAAGTATAATAGGAGCTTAACTGAGGTCACATTGGTAGTATTGCCTTTTTATTTTTCTTATTTGCTTCTTTGTCTTTCATATTGCACCAAAAAAGGAAGGTTTTGTGAGCACTACTTGGGCTCTTCATGAACAAACATTTTCCTCAGATTGCATCAATACATTTTTTTGGACCTCCGCCTCCGGTGTAAAAATGTTTATCAACAATGTTTAATAACGGACTATAGTGGCTCTTGATATTTTCTTATTTACTACTCGTGTATATACTATACTATATAATATTATTTTCCGACATCAAGTAACCTCACGAAATTACACTACAAGCATTATGCTCTATACAGGGTGTTCCTTAATGATATGCGAATATTTAAGGGTATGAATCTACCTGAAAAATTAATGTTGGTTTTGAAGTTTTAGGAAAACAATGGAAGTTAATTAATATTTTCAGAACCGCTTCAGATGTTTCACCGATATTTAGTACATAGTGGAAGTTAATAAAGTTGCATATTTTTCAATGCCAATGGTTTTTTGCCATATAATTTTATTTTTTACTCAAAAATGACGCATTCAAGAGAGATCATTTGTTTTAAATTGAACGAGGAATTGAAAAATAATTTTTATTTGCAAAAAACCATTGGCGTACCTTTTTTTTTTCTTAAAAAATATCGAACATATTAATTAATTTCCATTTTTTGCTAAAACTTCAACACCCCGAGTTTTTCTAAGGATTCATTTTTGGACCATAGTATAAAAAGCAAACTAACATTAATTTTTCATGTAGATTCACATATTATTCACATTCATTATATTCATATTATTATATTCGCATATCATTAAGGAACACCCTGTTTATACATAATTTGTACCCCTCGTATTTGTGCATACCTCATCACCTACTACATGCTTTTTTCGCAGGTATCTAGCAATGTTGTTAAGACTCGAGATCGAGACACGATTCGCGTTTGATAATACTCTTGGGGGCAAGTGTATTGTATTAATATACTAACATCAATAAATTACTTTACATTCTTCTCCCCCCTGCAACCCTCCGATTCCCATTTTTTACCCCTGAATAATTTTCAAAAATGATCAGAACGATAAAAAACGAAATTTGAGCGACTTTTCTTTTTCGTTTTTTGCACACAACTGGGCCGATTTTCAAAAACTACGAAGTTTCTTGACCCTTGATATAGTACGAACTTTGTGTAAAAATTTCATCCAAATCAGAGCAATACTTTCATTATAGACGGACCAAGGATTTGCGGACAGACCGACAGAAAAATCGTCGGAAATGAGTGACATGGTTTTATCATATAACATCAAAAAACAAGATATCTTATTTTCGAAAATACTTTCGCCGTCAGTAGGCGTGGGAAGTAAAAACTTGAATGTGTCATAGAAGGCATTTCTGTACAATATGGTAAAAGATTATTGAATTTGGGAAGAGATTAAAAAAGTTATGAAAGGAGAAAGATAAATTGGTGGCAAACAGATCATTTGACTTTAAACGTTCAATCACAGGCCCTATTTACATCAATAAAAAACAATGCAAGTCTCAATAATAGAAGGCATTGCGGTATGTATGGTGGGCTGACCAAGTTCCAAAATTAGGGTAGTGAATCTTCATTTCAATTTACCTTTTACACCGTACAATCAGCAAGAAATTAGGCATGCAAATTAATACTAACCAGATTACCTATCGTTTGCCGCAAAACTGGTCAAGTTGTTGTTAAAAAAGTTATGACTTTGCTCATTTGACCAAAAATTTGTGTGTGTGTGTGTGTATGTTAATTTTGGGCCTTTCTATGTTATGTAAATAGAGAACATCCCATAATGGAATTTTTAATAATTCCTATTTCAAGCGTAATAAAACACGTACAGGCCCGGAAAAAATTACTCGGCTAGACTACGTTGCCTGTAGGTTATGCTTTGAACCTAAAGTTACGATTTTTTTTTCGTACAACTAATAATAAAACTAACCTGTAATTCGGCTGCCTCCGGTACTTGCGTATCCTCCTCGCACGTTCCGTGTCCTTCCTCAGTACTCTTCCTTCGCACTTGAGTCGCGCCGGAGACGACAGAGAGGTAAACAATTCCGGGTATTTCCGGAAGAAGTCATTGCCGTCTGTAACGCGGTGCATCTCCAACTGATCACAACTTCACAACTCCGGCATAAGCACAGCACGTGGTCGCTGTCGGTCCGGGGAGGGTGGATATTGATTTTTACCCCCTCCCTTAACGTGGCTTGCGCAATCTTTTGTGTTTGGCCGGGCGGATCACTTTTGACAACCGGCGTTATGCAATATCACCGATGATTATTGTTATGGCACTTCGAGGGTGAGCACACGTAGCTGGAAAAAATAAAAGGAACTATAGACAACGATACCTAATAGATAACTTATACAGCAATTATTTGAGTATAAAAACTAACATTAGTTAAGGCATTGATTAACGCATTTTACCTGAAGATATCCAACCTAATGCTATATTCCGCGTCCAAGAAATTATCCGTGATAAAATGAGACACCGTCGGGCACAAAATTTAAAAACACCATCATGTAGTGCTTAAAAACTGCCAAAAGAAAAGTTCCAAAATCAAACTTTAGTCTTCTTCTCAGTAAGCCATGAAATTTTTAGTTTCTCAACAGCATTTAAATATGCCCCAAAGAACGCAGCTATTTCCTAATTTAACCTGATCAGTATCTTCCACAGGTCTTGAGATCGCCATGCATAGGACCCTTATCTTGGACACCCTGTATAGTATATAGAGAAACAGCTGTGACAAATTCTCATAGATGACAGTACAGTATTTCATTTTATCTAGGATAATTTTTTGGGCGCGGGAATGTTGCAGTATAGTCAACGCCAAACAAAGTGGCGTGCACGTCATCAAGGTGGGTGTGTTGAAAAATTTACATTGTTGTCAAACTTTTTGTAAAATAATAAAATTTATTATTCACATATCTAGGTTTATAAGCAATATTAACCTCAAATGAGAACAAAAATAATAGTATAATAAAATTATAGATCTGTACTTGCATAATCATTAAGTATGACAATTATTGATCAGATGACACTATGAAACTACCATATTTAATTGATAGCTTAAAGGTACTGAATAAAAATCCAAATGGGGTCCTCCAAATATTATGCATGGTATTTATTTTACAGAATTCATACACAAAAATGCATTCTAAAATTAGGTAAGCTACTGGTGTAAGCTTTTTCTGTACAATAAAGTTAGTCGGAGTTTCTTTCTTCAGCGCTGTCTGAATCTGAATCTTCATCACTCTCAAAGTTGATTATTAAAGGTTCGATGTCTGGTCGATCAAAAATTCGTTCTCTTTCATACCATTTAAAAATTTCTTGCTCAGTATGTCGAACACTATTTTTCCACATGTCTGGGGTAACCGTTTGTAGAGCCTCGTTCCACATATCCAAACAGTCTTTTTCACTGTTACCATCTCTACCAATATGTCTGTTATAGTAACCTTTTGCTATGCCCCAAATTAACTCAATAGGGTTAAATATACAATGGTAAGGAGGCAGACGAAGAACTTTGTGCCCATGTTGTTCCGCCAATTCATCAATCACGTATATTTTAGGTGGTTTGTTTCTAAAAAAGCAGTTATTTTAAGAATAGGAATAAACAAAAGAAATATAAACTGTCGACCAAAATATATATAATTAAGAAGCATTATGTACCGAGCAACAATACTCAATAGCTCTGTTTTAAACATTGTGTTTAAAAATTGTATGTTTTGATTTGTCAACCAGTCTTGGATATTTTTTTTGTCCATGCATTGTTGGGCACTTTGTTCAATATCATGCTGTGATAAGGGGCGTTATCCAGTATAATCATAGATGGACTCTCCAATTTTTCTAATAACTGATGTTGAAACCATTTCAAAAAATTGTCCTGGTTCATCTCTCCATGTTAATCGCTCAATTTTATTTTCGAAGAAAATATCGCTTCACTACCCTCAATAAACCCATTTTCATTTCCAGCATGTAATATAATGTATCTAAAATATATTAGTTTTAAATTTTATAGTGCAAATTGTGTAAAAGTACATACCTTTTACCATCTGTTTTAATAGCTTTCACGCTTTTTTGGTTTCCATTTTGCCAAGAGCGACCTATGGTCCCATTTTGAAATATCCAAGTTTCATCGGGGAAGACAAACTGGTATAAGGCCTCAACCTTAGCTTGATTGTATTGCCTTAGAAATTCCACCCTTTTCAAAGCTATACTTGGTAGTTCCATGAGCCCTCGTCGCGGATTGTCCTTAAGCCACTTAAATCCAAGATCTCTAAGCAACCGCCTTAAAGACGTGGCACTACCATCAAATAATGCCCTATCTCTTAATCGAGACCATAAAGTTTGTATCGTAACTTGTTCTTCTGAAACCATGTGTAATATGACATTATAATTTAGTTAACAAATTAATGCAAATTTCTGATAAGTTATTATAATAAGATCTTACTTTTGTGATACATATTATAGATCACTTCTCGAATGGCACTTGTATCCAATGTCGCTGTGTTGGTTACACGTTTAATATAACTCCGCTTTTTCTTGGGCGATTCTAAATTTGCATCACTTTTCACACCCTCGGAAATACGACTAACTGTCCTTAAACTAATTTTTAAAGCAGCAGCAACACGCTACAAAAAATGAAATAAAATTTCACTCTTATTAATATACATTACATATAATTATTAGTAACCTACCTCTTGAACAGCATTTAAAGGCAACAAAGGCCCGTTGTTGTCCCTTTCTTGCTCAAAGTAGTGCATTAACGAGGCCACGAGTTCCTTACACCGACTATTTAACTGTTTGGGCATCTTTATATACCAAAATTGCCTTTATCTACTCGTAAAATGAATAATTTTGTTTTGAAACAAACAGTTGTTGATTTACAGTATGCGGGGCCAAAGGATTTATAAAGATTTGAAATGCCACAAATTGATTCAGTGTCAAAATTAATACAAATTTCAGTTCCCAGTTTAAATAAGTTTCAAGGTGACAATGTGTCAACGCTGCGAAATCGGTTTAGTGCGTTTACATGTCGATAAGTGATTGGAGCGTTTGCAAAACATTTTATTTCGCATAATGCGTCTAAATTTATCAGAAAGCAACTTATGTGATATTTTAATAACAATGTTTATATGACTATTAACCATAATAAGAGAGTAATGACCATTTTACAATTTATATATCACATTAATATGAAACTGCAATAGAGCAATTGTTTGTGATAGAAACCTAGGCATTAGGTCGGGGAATTTTTATCGTGATGACGTGCACGCCACTTTGTTTGGCGTTGACTATAGGTTGACTATCTTCGGGTAGAATACGTTTATTTGTTTAGAGCTAGAGAATATTTTTTTTTCATTGAACCTCCTCACTGTTTACAAGGCTCTGGTAAGATCCGGCCTGGAAAACTTTTCACATAATTGGGAAGCTGCTGCTTTGACTACGCTTTGCATATCAGACGTAATTAAAAGAAGTGTAACGCTTCTAACAGATGGTTTTAAGATTCTTTTACATTAACGGACGACCGGTGGTGGCTCTCTTCTACTGCATACATCAACTAAATATGCCACCTACTTCCAGACCTCCCAGAAAGGTCTGCGAAATGTCTGTTTCTCATTCTGGTTGGATAAAACAGTACAGATAGAGAACTGGTCAGTCCGAGAGCTTCTTTGTTCCTAGAGTATCGATTGGGGATCAATCGATACCGTTATTTATATTGCAAGGCGTACCGGCAATGTCAGCCTATTTTGTACGCCTCCCTCTCCCCCTCCCCCAAAAAACAGTGCTATTGGTTCAAAAGTGGTGAAATGAGGATCGTGACTTTGATATGTTTCTAAGACACATTTATTTGAGCTGAGATGTATTTCTTAATTGTAAAAACTATATTTCTTTGAAACAATGAAATTACCTCACTTCAAGTTGGAGGGATGTCTTTGAATATATAAACATAGTAGGCCGCGCGGATCGAGCGTCGGTACTGAATCTTAACCTCACTCTTTAGTAAACTTAAATTCAAAGTTTCACAATAATACGTGCAGTGTTCTCACTACAGTGAATTTTTAAGTGTCACCAAGTCATTAGAAAAATGGAATTCAACCGGGAACATTTTCGCGCCATAATGTATTACAACTTTCAGAGACAATTATCGCAACAAGAATGCTTTGCTGAGTTGCTGTCTGTTTTCGGCAACGAAGCGCCACATGCATACTAGAAAAGCCTGTTTCATGCAACATATTTTTTTAAACGAGACACTAAAGTTGCTTGCAACTTAGTACAACAGTATTTTGCGTTCCATTTTCATGTTTCGAGCGTTGATTTGAAATTTTAATTCAGTGTGCTCGGATTGAATAATTTTCGTTTAGGCCTGAAGAGACGAAAAATGAAAGTAAAAAGAGATCGTGATGACACTCCCAGGAAATTCTTATTATATTTGATAGTTTACTGCTTAGATCATAATACTGATGTTCTGTGTTGCCGATTCCTGATAACGGGTTAGTTCTTATCTCGCAGCCATCAACACAAAACAGAGGCATTACCGTTATTATCAGACCCAGTATCACCACAGTCGTAACTGATGGAGTTTTTTTACACAGAAGCAGCCGCGCAGGCAGAAGCCTAAATACCAGGGCACCGCGGCTGCTATGAGGAGCTTAAAGAAACTTTGTTAATCCGATTTTTGAGCTGGCTGAGGTTAGTAGAACTATGGATTGTTCCACAATATCGATACGCTAGCGATAACGGAGCGGTCGTATCGGCCAGTTCTGGATGTGACCCGTGTCTGTCTGGCAAGCACATCGCGAGGCATCATGGAGGAGAGATCTGAGGAGCTAAGCGAATTGGCGTAGCGGTAGAAGAGAGCTAGATCGCCGACAGCCAGCCGGTGCGAAAGGATCCCGAGTCATGGTTCAGTCGGACAGCTCTCCTCTGAGTCCCCCAAACTTGTGATCAATACTCGAGGATATGACTTATCACGACCTTGTACAGAGTGAGGAGGTCGTGCGGACAAAGCACTTCTTAGCCTTAAAAAAATCGCCTAGCTTTTTCCCAGCAGCTGCTGCTATTGGCGAGATGTGTACGTGCCAGATCAAGTCCTCGGTGATATGGACTCCGACTAGCCGAAATGAACGGTCCTTTGGTAGAACTCGGCCATCCATCGAAACCAGATGACCACTAGGACGCTTTTTGTTCATTAAGGTACGGTACTGTGTTTTAGAAGCATTAAACTATACAAGATTGTTGCAACTTTTGACTTGTTTTTATGCTATACAACCAATTTATTCACACCTTGAAATGAATGACCGATATTGTTAATACCGGCCAATTATCGGTGTCGGTGAAAATCGGTCGGTCTCTAGAATCGATAATAGGAACTAAGCGCTCAGAAAAGATTCTGCTGACTTTGGGAACCGAAAAACTGTGTCAACAAGATGTGCTCTAAAATTCACACCAGATGTGAATTTAAATTTGAAAGTAAAAAGCAGTGTTTCGTAATGTAACACTTGAAACATATTCTGTGGTTTTTATTCTGATAATTCTCCAGGTTTGTCTGGCCACTAAATGAAACCACATATGTTTGAAATAATGCTTGATGTTTTAAAGACAAAATATATTGTTATCAAAATTGTCATTTGTACTTGAAAATGGCCATCGTGGTGACAAACATTGAGAATTATAGTGTTTCTTTTTTAGATTTGTTATTTTTCTTTTGCTCGTTGGTAGAGACCTTTGACTTAAACCCCATAAATACGAAATGGTGTTAAATAACATAATCTCGGGGCGGCAGTTGTAATCATGGAAAAGAGTGTACGACCAAGAAACGTCTCGTGTAGTGACTAAATTGTTTCACAGACTGGATGACGTGTGGCATCTTCTTCAACCCATTATCCACATGAGTATTATCCAATTTCGACAGAAAGAAGTACCAGAGACACCAATGCTTTGGAGGAGCAGTCATATCAATGGAAAACCATGGAGAATTTTAACAAACGGGTACGTGTATGCTAGCATAGCCGAAGAGGTCATTTGCATTTCCAAATTCCCTACTCTAAGGCCCGTATCGTCAGTCGTCCCTACAATTGTAGGGCGCGTTTATGGCCTTCTTGATTGTCATACTGCTTTCTCTCCTTCAAAAATTTCTAGATTACACTTGTCCCGTGTCAGCGTCAGCGCCCTCCTATTGTGAAGATATGTTTTATTTTTAAATTGTAGGAAATTTCAGACTGATAAAACATGATATAACCCAAAAGCAAGCACAATTTGATGCAAATAGATGTTTGTGACATAACCTCAAAATAGAGTTCTCACACGGAGAAGTAGAAAACTATGACAATCAAGGAGGCCATAAAGGTGCCCTACAATTGTAGGGACGACTGACGATACGCGCCTAAGTTCTTTATGATCCAAGAAACGGCAAGTTAAAGCCAAAACACCTTTGAAGCAGTGACACTACTTCAGTATCAAGTATCTGGCCTCTCGGCTACTTCAGTACAAAACAACTGTTATCCTACACTTTCAGACAACTTTTGAAATATACTTTTTGCATAGAGAACATTGATTCTACCGTTGTTTTAGATTCAATTTCACGTCGTCTGTCGTAAAATCTCCACAGTATGTTTCGCGATAACATCATTTGTGTTATACAAGATTTTGTGCAAATATATTACCTAAGAAGGTTGTGTCGGCGGCGTTACTTCTATAACGTCTTCGTGATCCACAAAACCGCAATTTGATTAATTGTTTTTGTAGCGATGTAGATATAAAGAATCCATTACCATTAAGCGTTATATAACTTTTTAAAAAAATATGTATATGTCTTCTGAGAAGGTAGCCGAGTATAATTCGATGATCTACCTACATTTATTCCCAAAAATAAATACGTCTCAGAGGAGGTCTCTGATGCGTCATGATGATATGATAAACACTTGCACTTGCAAAATTACGTGAGTATAGTGATTCACTCCAATGCATGATTCAAAATATAATAGAATATTTTTAGATCAAGAACTGATATTATCTGCTGCTTCTTTCTGCTGCCTTGGAGACCAGGATTTAGGATAACAATGCATCCAAGGGAGCGGAATCAAGTGGGTAAGGGTTAACATATACCGGGAGATGGCAGGGGTGAGCACCGAAAAGAATGTTCGACCTGATTTTCGTCATCTATCTCTGGAGTATGTTGACGTTTTCCGAAAGGATCTCTTTGGTACTCCAGGGGGAATGTTTGTCTTTCGTCATCGGGGAGCATGGTGAGGGATTCGTCGACGAGAGGCGTCGGCATATCGCTCATTCTCAGGCTATCAGACCATAGATCGTGTTGTGGTGGGATATTGACTGTATATGCGTCATTAAATATCATGCCCTCCGATACCGGCAGATACCGGATGCTCCGGGTATGATAGCTGGGGGATGCCGCGGCATATCGACGCAGAAGGTTCTTTTCTCTTTCGGCATCGGAAAACATGCTGTGGGATTCGGCAGCTAGAGGCGTCATGCTCTTTGATGTCAGCTGATAACATCATTCATAATGGTACACTGGAGTTATCCTTAAGAATCCAGGCGATAGGTATCTGATAGCTAGCCGGTTGACGACGAATTCTCTCAGCAGGTAGCTGAAAGATACCCCGGCACGTTGACGCTTGCTTCGGGGAGATCACTTTGGTACACCTGGAGGGTTGCAAATTGGTGGGGTATCGACGGAATATGCGGTATCCAACAGCATGCTTTCCGATGCCGACAGATACAATGCTTCATTGAGTATCTAAAGCAGTGCCGTAGGGTTTCTCGATATACCCTAGCATCCAGGCTACAGATATATCGTAGGTGGCGAGAACTGATATTATCTGCTGCTTCTTTCAACTATTGCGATACTTTGAGACCAGGATTTAGGATGACACTGCATCCAAGGGAGGGGAATCATGAGGGTAAGGGCTAGCATATATCGGGAGAAGGCAGGGGTGAGCACCGAAAAGGATTTCGTCATCTATCTCTGGTAGCTGCAGGATGTTGACGTTTTCCGCCAAGGATCTATTCGGTACTCCAATGAGATTGTTTCTCTTTCGGCATCGGGGAGCACGTTATGGGACTCGTTCGCGAGAGGCGTCGGCAAGCCGCGTCATTCTTAATCTGCCATACTATAGATATTATTCTGGTGGGATATTGGCGGTATATGCGGCATCCAACAGCATGCCCTCCGATACCGGTAGATAAAATCTTTCATGGAGTTTCGAGAGCCGCGCTGCCAGAATGACAACGGATGCTCCGGGCATGGTAGCTGGGGATGCCACGGCATGTTGACGCAGAAGGTTATTTTCTCGTTCAGCTTCGGAAAACATGCTGTGGGATTCGGCAGCTAGACAGCATGTTTTCCGATGCCGACAGATGAAATGCTTCATTGAGTATCGAAAGCAGTGCCGTAGAGTTTCTCGATATACCTTAGCATCCAGGCTACAGATATGTCATATGGCTGGGGGGATGACAACAGGTGCACCCGGCATCGAGAGGGATTCATGCTCTCTGATGCTACTGAAAAAACCCTTACTAGGTAACTCGGACCGGGGGCGGAGGAGCATGTCGGCGTTCCCTCCAGCGGGAACCCACCGCTTGCCCTTTCATACCTAAGAATGATTATAGAAGTATGCGTAACGTGTCGGTGTGGCAAGTGATGGCCCGAAGGGCGATGAACAAATTTTGCGACGGTGTGCGCTGAAGTGGATGGACATCTTTTTGAATAATGATGATATGTATATATTGACAATGGCATATCCAACGTGCAGTCGTTATGATGGAAAGAAAGACTGAACCATTATTTTGCTGAGAAGCTCTGCACTTCCACATACAGCCTATACTGGAGCAGATAGTCCTGTCACCCGAGTTTAGGAGACGATAGGGTATTTGTTTTTGCAAGGAAAAATCTGGCCTTTAGTTCGAGTGCAAATCGTATACATGGACTAGGCATTGGTAGTCTTGGGCAGTACCTGCTTCAGAGGGCATAGAAAATGGAGGACTGGTGATAAGAGGGTTTGTCCACCAGGAGCTTATATGAGACATTTAATCTTATGTGGAGGTATGGATCAGAGCCAATCTGGAACCATGAATCGGTAAACAAAGCTTAAAACCACATTGCTTTCGTCGTTTCCTGTAAACCCTTTTGTTATGCAAGTAGGCCCAGGCAACGTCGTATGTTATGCGAACAAATAATAATGAAGGAGGCAATTACATGGTAAACAAACTCAATATGTTCAATTATTACTTCAAGTATAAAACAAACTTACCTTGGACAACAAATTGTACTTCTGCGAGACAGAAATGATATCTTCAAAGTAGTCCACAAACAGATGCCATCCACCCAAATCAAGTCCAGTTACATAACGTAGTGTACGTGTCTTATACCCGCCTGTTGCGCGGCAAAATCCGAAACCACTAAACAAAATCGACAAAGGGGTTGAAACAAATGCGTAACTCGTCAAATAATCCAGTAGGCCGTTTCCCGCGTGTTACGTACTTCGTTTGTTTCTATGGCGTGTTATGTAAAGTCGCAGTGCGGTCGCGTTCGCTTCGTAGACAGCACATGTGCGCGGATCGCTTGTGAATCGCTTGACGCGTACTTTACGAGACGCGTTGTTGACACGACTGAACGGACGCGAAGCGGCGACGTCGGACGTCGACGTCGTGGCCGGCGGCGCGACGGCGACGGTTAGCGCCGTTAGGCAGTGTTGCCGAGTCTGTCATTTATACCCATTTTTATTCGGATTATCCAAACGAACGTAAATAAATGCTTAATCCAGAAGATGTTTTGAAGAAAAGTAGTCAAGTACACTCTCTCTGTACTTCCCATGCTCATTTCTAATTTTTTGACACTGCGCTCTAAAGTGTCCAGATTAGTGAAAATCTCGTATTCAAAGACGTGCCTGAGTTAGCAGTAGTGTACGATGTGTTTTGCCGCTCTCTTCCGTTTTGCTACCAGAGTAGAGCAGATATTTTTTCAAAGATGTCTTGGGGCCACTAGTATACTACTCTGTATGTTCTAAATCTAAAGAAAGCTAATCTTAACGCAAGGTATATTACTTTTGCTAACGACACAGATATTCCCTTGACATAGAAAATTAGATCTTACTGTAAATGATTGTATTCGAATCAACTGAAAATCAACATCGATAAAACAAGATATCTAGTCTTTAAACAATAATAAATAGTTGAAAACTTCTATACAGGGTGTTTCAGTTTATTGTTGCATAACTTTAAGATTCGATAGAACTTTTAAAATGAATGCATAAAGTCTATATAAACATGGGTCGAAAAATGCGTGGCTTCCGAACTACAGGGTGTTTAAATTTACTTTCTAAAATAGTTTTTTTTAAATATTTCGAACAATATTTGATGTATAACAGTAAAAAATTGGTATACAAGGGTTTTTTGGTACAACAAAACGAACCATGGGTATAGTTTTACCATAGCCGCTAGAGGGCGCTCTCTACTGTACCTGTAGTGTATTAAAATGACCAAAAATTTTTTCTTAGTGCAATTTTTTGCTTTTTGAATAAAAAAAATTATTCTTCGCACTTTTCTGCATAAAAAAGCTCTCCTGTGAGTTTTCGTTATAGTTAGGCGTTTTTGAAATATTTCGATTTTTAAGGTTCGATGCATTTTTAATTATTTATGGGAAAATAATATTTATTTTACATTTTCGATTGGACATTACAAGTAATTAAGATGATCGTTTAGATTGTGTTTTTAAACACAGCAATAATTCCTAACTCCAAATAAACACAAAAAAAAAACGGAATATTAATTTGTTTAATTATCCAATATTATTTTAACCAATTAAATTAATTATTTACAACTAAAATGCTATTGGATAGTTAGGACAAACATACAAAATCTAAAGTAGTTGCTCGAATGTAAACCCAATTGTTCAATACACAATTCATATCTACGAATGATCGAACGTGGTATAGCATTATTCAAATAAGGCCTTATTTCATCACATGCATTCCTGATTCTGTCCATTAGCATATCTCTTGTGGTTACGGGAGTCTGGTACACTTTTATTTTACAAATCCCCACGCAAAGAAATCTAATGGATTTAGGTCAGGGGATCGTGGAGGCCAGGCGACTGGTCCTCCACGGCCGATCCATATTTCTGGATAATTTTCGTCCAGCCACTTTCTAACTATTCTCGAATAATCAACTGGACAACCATCAAGCTGGAACCAGGCCAATCTTCTTAAATCTAACATAACATCATCCCACATATTTGCATGTTCAGCCTTTAAAAATTCCAAGAAGGTCGCAGCATTTAACCTTGCAGGCAAAAGGTAGGGTCCAAATAGTCGATTACGGTAGATACCAATCCACACGTTCACACTAAATTCATGCTGAAAATTTCTTTCCCGAACTGCATGCGGATTTTCATGCGACCAAATATGTTGATTATGAAAATTTACCACTCCACGTCTAGTGAAGCATGACTCACACAGCCTACTTCTAAAAATTATCGAGATACTGACTTTTTAAACGTTATTTTATCATAAGTAATTAAAAATGCATCGAACCTTAAAAATCGAAATATCTCAAAAACGGCTAACTATAACGAAAACTCACAGGAAGGCTTTTTGTGCAGAAAAGTGCGAAGAATCAGTTTTTTTATTCAAAAAGCAAAAATTGCACTAAGAAAAATTTTTAAAACTATACCCATGGTTCGTTTTGTTGTACCAAAAAATCCTTGTATACCAATTTTCACTGTATACATCAAATATTGTTCGAAATATTTAAAAAAAAACTATTTTAGAAAGTAAATTTAAACACCCTGTAGTTCGGAAGCCATGCATTTTTCGACCCATGTTTATATAGACTTTATGCATTAATTCTATCGAATCTTAAAGTTATGCAACAATAAACTGAAACACCCTGTATAAGATCAAGTAACGTCAAAGTATGTAGAAAAACTATCATCCGTCAATAAATAAAATTATCGATGAGAATTTTCTAGTCACATTAAAATCTTTTATATAAAACAACGTCGATGCTTTGTACAGAGCAGATACTACTTAACTACAAAAAGTAAAATAAACATTTATAATGCATTTTTCTTGGCACACTTCAGGTATATGTTTCCTATTTGGGGAATATGTGGCAAAACTGAATTTCATAAAGCACAAGTTTCGCAAAATAGATATTAGGAATTTTGTTCAACTATGCCCGACTCAGCAATACGCATAATATGTACTACACAAAATTG